TCCCCAACCTCCCTTGCCTTCCCGCTGTAGTTTGACAGCCTGTTCACCCACCTGCATTTGCAGGAACTGGTAACATTCCCCCACATTTCTGATTGGGGGGAGGGGGGGAACTTCTACAGAAAAGAGGAACCACCTCATTCACATCCAAAAAGATGACGGAGTCGTGGACAGAAATAACCCGCAATGAAGCAACTGCGAGGAAGTTCTCCTGTTCTGTGAGAGTCACTGAGCCAAGAAAGGTTCATGTTATACGGCTCAATAGAGGCTGAGCCAGGCTATTAAAACTGAGAGGATCCATTTCTCCCAGACACACTGTTGGCAACATTGACAGCCGTGAAATTCCACCTACTGTAACCGTGATGCATGGTGTCCAGACAGGAAGGAAAGCAGGCATGGTCCTGACTCACACTGCTCTGATTTCCAGTTTTGAGTTCCGAGGCGTGCTCAAGCTAGCTGTCACTTCCCCCCACCCCCAAACATGACGCTGATGGGTGTTAATAACTTTCTTTAGAACAGAGTCCAAGGTCAGGTGCACCGGCTCAGTGCTGCCGGGAAATATTTACGGGGATTCACACCAAGGCTGAGAGATGCTTTGCCTAGTGTTGGGCATGCTGGGCATGGATGCTGGTCAGTACCTGTGACTCCCTCACCACATGCTGCTGGATGGAGCCAGGATGTTCCCAGGAGCCCACACTGACCACACTCTTCTGCTTCCCTGAAAACGCTTTTCTAAAGGAATTTCCAAAAGCCCCAGAAATAAAAATCTCTTTAGGCAAGAACACTTGCCTTGGAAAATAAAAAAAAAATGAGTTGGACTCCTTTTTTTTAAGAGAAATTGGGAGGGGGAGGTGACATGTCCCTGCCATGAAATTCGATTTAATTTTTTAAATATGAAAAATAACTCGGTGTGTCTATTTCATGCAGAAGGCCACCTGAATTTGGCATTAACCAGTTCACTGCCATGCGTCCAAAATGGAAAACCATCCCCACATGCCATGATCTTTCGAATTTAATTTTTTAGAAAATCAACTTGCAATGAATGTTATAATTTGGGCATTCTTGAATATTTCAGGAGCTGAAAATTCTCACAAAAAATGACTTTAAAGTGAGTGGTCAGGGCTGCCATTTAGGGAAAACTTTTTTTTATAGACTCGTGTGGCATGTGGGGAAGGTCCACCACCTGCGTCTACAGACGCTTATGGCATACAATGGGTTAAAATCCTGTCCTGAGCAGGATAGTGAAGCTTTCATAGCTGACCAGGAAATATCTCTTGCTTCTCCTTCCGTCCCCTCCACCCAAGGAAGAGACAAGCAAGAAGCATATGGGCAAAATGCCCTCTTCATCGGAAGGCAATTTCTGCTTTTAACTAACTGGCAAGGAAGCAAACAGGCAAATGCCTGCTTGGCTGAAGGATGTCTCTGCTTTTAACCCCAGGCTGATGTTTCTTTAGGATGCGGCTTAAAGAACAAATCCGGTGCCAGGTTTCTTCACCCTCATCTCTTAATCATGGGCAAAGTATGTGCGTTCACGCCCCACTCCCTCACTCACCTTTGCCTCTGTGTTAGGAGGATGAGTCACACACACACACACACACACAATTATAAATCACCTGGAGAGGCTTTCCAACATCCTAGGAAAAAGCTCCAGGTTTGGCAGTGAGCTATTTTCGGTAGGAAAATATCTACCTTAGTTTTACACACGTTACCATAGGCCAAAATATTGATAATAGAATCACTTTTTTTTTACATTTTTTAAATTAAATTATTATCTGTACTGTATACATATTTTAACATTGCCCCCCCTCCCATACATACCGTCCCTCCCCAGAGTTTTATGCCCATTGGTTGTACTTACATGCATGTATACAAGTCCTTCGGTTGATCTATTATCTCCACCAGATCTCCCTACCCTACCTGCTGTGATTTGACAGTCTGCTTGTTGCTTTACTGTCTCTATATCTATCTTTTGGTTCATCAGTTTATAATAGAATCACTTTTTAAAATGCTTAAGACAACAGCCTTAATGTAAAACTGTTACGAAGCGAGTCCCCAAGAGATGGACCACCGGAGCCAATTTGATTAAGCATGCTAGAATTTATTACAGATTCGAATCTGGACTCAAACCATGGCTGACGCAGCAGCCGGTAAACACCCAGGTAAGAGCCCCGATGGAGGGGCAGTCCCTCCAGAGCGCTCACACAAAAACACAGACAAACACACACCTACCGCGGCCAGTCAGGCTCCTCGGAATGGGGGTCCCTCATGGTCCTGGCTGGGGATTCCAGTCATGATCCCCAAGGACCACCAGGGAGCCGAGTCCGATGCAATAAACAAAAGAGCCATCTCCATGCTAGCATGGGCTATTCCACTCATGCCGGCAGCATGGCGGAAGAGAGCGAATTTCGCCCAGTCCAGGGGTTTTATTCAGGTCGGTGATGTCACTGCCTCGGCTAACCCTGATTGGCCCCTCAGGACTAAATTCTAAAGACTGGGGACAGCCTGCAGGGTCGGTTCCCAGTCACACCCTGCTTGACATTGGATGTGGCCCTATCTTGCCCATAATACAAAAGCAGAACTAAAGGTTATCTACAGTTTCTACCCCTGAAGCTACTGAGTCAGTGGGAGTCAATCTCCTGTAACTACCCTATTGTTTAAGCAAGCAATCGAAGGTAGAAGTCAGATAGCAAGGTTAAAATTCAAACAGCAGTTTTTACCCAAGTATGAGTGCTACCATATTTCAAAAACAACATTTATCCGTCTGTGTTCCTTGAAGGTTTATTAGAAATGCATACTCCAGGGTCTCACACCAGACCCCTGAGTCTGGATCTCTGGGGGCAGAGTTTCCACAGTTCTTTTGTTTTTGTTTTGTTTTTTTAATCCTTACCCAAGGGTATTTTTCCCATTGATTTTTAGAGAGGGTGGAAAAGAGAGGGGAAGACAGAGAGAAATATCAATGTGAGAGAAACACATCGGTTGGTTGCCTCCTGCACGAGCTCTGACCAGGGCCGGGCTGAGAAGGAGCCTGCAGCCAATCGAACCCCAACCCGCGACCTTTGGTCTGCAGGTCGAAACTCTATCCACTGAACCAAACCAGCTAGGGCAGAATCTCCACATTTTTAACAAATTTCCCAGGTGATTCTGGTATGCACTAGAGTTTGCCTTGTACACTGGTAAGATTACAGCAAACATTTTCATCATGGTATCAAGAAGGTTAGAACAACGAAACAAAAATCTCCAAAAATGAGTGACTTGTATCCTTCGGATTTCTGAATCACAACCTGACACTTGCTAATTTTTGGACAGTAAGGAAAACAAGGCAAAAACGTAGAGTGGTTAATACTTTCTGCTTTCAGATGCATGTTATTCAATACCCTCCCCCATGAAAGTCCCAAGTTCATGGTTTTGCAGATACTGAGAAGTCTAGATCTAGCTTACAGCCATGATTATGGTGTTGTTGTTTTTTCCTTCTAGCTACAGAAATCTAATGTGGTGTGTCTCTGTCTGCTTAGAGTCTAGCATGCAGCAGTGAGTCTTCTGGAATCAATTTAAAACAAGACTTTACTAATGAGGTAACAGTAAGTTAAAAGGCAGGTCACAACAAAATTAAGCTCTTGGTTTGTAAATAGAGATATATAACAGGAGACCGGAAGAAGTAACCACAAATCACCATCAGGTTTTCGTGTTATGGTTAGCTCCCTCTCTCCTTAAGCTACCCCTAAATTTATGATCATTTTTTTTAAATAAATAAGTGATAAACACACTTTAAAATGTTGACTTTTCAGTTAAAATATCATCACGAGTAAAATTTTAACTTACTATTAAATCAAAAGCACGAAGTAAGCCCAGCCTGTTGCTCAGTTGCTTAGAGCGAGTACCCAATATCCCAAGGCCTCAAATTTGATTCCAGTCAGAGCGCATACAGGAATCAACCAATAAATGCACTAATGAATGGTACAAATCGATGCTTTCTCTCTCCCTTCCTCTCTCTAAAATCAATTTTAAAATTAAATTTATAAAAAAAGGGACAAAGAAAAATTTATTTTTGACCCAGTGATTTCACTTCTAGTAATATATCCGAAGAAACCCAAAACACTAATTTGAAAGAATATATGCACTCCTAAATTTCAGAATTATTTTAAAGACTATGTTTTTTAAAAAGTAGATGTACTGTACTTGATCCATTCCTCTATATAGCTACACTTATGCTGTATCTAGTTTCAAGCTTTAGTAAATAACAGAATCATCTTCTATATAAGTTCTTTTTCTTCTAAAAGTTATTTATTTAGAATAAATTCCTAGCAATGGTTTTGCTACTTCAAATGACATATATATAACATATTTTCCTTCAAAAAAAAATTGTATCACATTACCATAAGCTATGGAAAAAAGAACTGGGTTCCTAAAAAGACTGAGAGCTGTTGAAAGCTTTTCACTTCATTTTTGTTACTGTTTTAATTTTTATTTCTTATGATTAGTAGTTCTTAAACTATCACTATACCAAGCACCATTCTAAGGGGTTTACATATATAAAATTATGTTTTTCTGTAAGAACAATTTAAAATAAACCCTTAATGCATAAAATTTATAAAAACTTACCCTTTATATATTAGAACTTCTAATATAATAAAATTTTAAATTTCCAGAAAAGAGATAATCTTATTTCATAAAGATAGAAAGGCACTGAAAAATTTAACTATGAAGAAAAGATTACTCTAGATTTTTCCACATATTTAATTTTTGGACCTTAGAAGAACAAGTCAACCCAAAGGCATAATAAGAGTTTCTTTTATTACTGAGAAAAGTATGTATAATTTTTTTTTCAAAATTAGAAATATCTTCTTTCTTAAACATGATTGGATGAAATTTAAAAAGTCCATTAAGAAAGTGGGATGATAAAAGGCAAAATGACATTAACGCTCAGTGCATTTTCTATCTCATTCTTTTTTTTTAATTGAATATTTTTTTAAATAATTAAGGAAATGATTCAATAAATGACCTACCTGATCTCACAAAGCACATCAAGCTGATGAAGAAATATAATCTCAGCATATGGGGACTGGAGCGAGTGTGTCACATTCACAAGAATGATTTCCTTCCCAGAGCCTGAGTTTCAACTGAGGGCTTTGCCCCGAGAGCTCAGATAACTAATCCAGAGGTGTGGTGACAAGAGGAAGTTCTGAGAGACTGCAGGCTGGTCCCACCCCTTTCAGAATACTTGACTCCTCCTCTTTTCAATGAATGGTCGGATATGTTTCCACCTTATTGCATATCGTAATATTATAATACATATTTGCAGAATGACGAGTTCAAAAGTTTCATTCTTCGTGGGCGGTTTATGAGTTGTTTGGCTTGGAGTGTTGAAATCAAGAGTGATCTGAAATATTTTCCTCTCCAGTTCTTGTGAATGAAACAAATCCAGTTAGTGTCCAGTTGGCCCGTGTATACAAAACAACTTGTTATGTTAATTCACACACTCATTTCTCATAGGGCAGTCTTTAGATTTTATTAAGAACATTTCATTAAGTCCAATTGTATACTTACATTTGCCAAAATATGCTTCAGATTAAAAGAAACTTTTTATGGTATTATATATCTTTATTTTTATTTCTTCTTATCAAGATTTCCTATCTAGATATTAGTTCTCCTCCCTTTTCTCTTCCTCCTCTGCCTCCATCTCCTCCTTCGGTTCCTCCTTTTTTAAAATAAAAACAAATGCAAAGACTTTAGAGAACTACGCCAGAATCCAGCTACCTCAGTTTTGGAAGTAACTAAACATGTGCTTTATAGCTACAAGGTAATTTAATTCTCTTTCTGGTGGAGTGCTTGTAACCATTAGACTTCCGGAGGTCTGATGAGCATAAAAATAAATAAAGACACATAAAGACACAAGCTAGCCCTAACCGGTTTGGCTCAGTGGATAGAGCCTGTAGACTGAAGGATCCCAGATTTGATTCCGGTCAAGGGCATGTATCTTGGTTGCGGGCACATCCCCAGTAGGGGGTGTGCAGGAGGCAGCTAATGGATGTTTCTCTCTCATGGATATTTCTAACTCTCTATCCCTCTCCCTTCTTCTTTGTAAATAATAATAATAATAATAATAATAATAATAATAGTAATAATAATAATAATAATAATAATATATATATATTTTTTTAAGACACAAGCTATTTAAGAATATATTTTCATCCAAAGCAGTAGGCAAAAGCCACTAGTCACTTAGCTTTGTCTATCTGAAGTGTGTGTTTATGAAGTACGAGCATCTCTGATCTACATTTATCAGTTCTAAGCACCTCAATTTGCAGACGATTCCTTACAGGAAGTAGTTTCTAGCAATGCTTCCCAAGGAATCAGTACGTGACAATTAACCTGAGAGGCTTTAAAAAGAATTGTATTTGTATATATATGTGTCACACCTCAGACCTAATGGATGCCAAGACTTTCTAGCACTGGTCAACTGACCTGGTTTCAGTCCCACCACGTCCAGTCACTAGGTGTGTGGCCTTAAGCGAAATATTAAAATTCTCCAAGTCTTAGTGTTCTCAACTGTAAAATGGAGATAATAAAAGCACACACCTCACAGGTTTATTATATGGATTAAATGAACGTTCTTAGCATTGTGCCCAATACCAAGGTAAATGGACTCACCACTTGGTAACTATTGTTATTACCTAACTGGTCACACAATTCAAATCTTTCCTCTTTCCCTCCTACCCCCCCCTCCCCCCAAAAAAAAGGTGGGCTGCACAATGCTGAGCAGAAAGATCTGGTGGAGAATCTCTGGGGTTTGAGGAACGGAGAACAGTTCACAGCAGTGACGTTTCAGGTTAATAACGTTAGTCAGCAGTTCAGCCTATTTCTGTGTTTTGTCTGCTGCTCGGAGAAGTAAATTAGGGATATGGAAATAGGAAAACCTAATAGGTGACCTGCTAGCTATTTTACTTTTCCATTTTCAAAAAGCTCTCCTAATTAGAAAAAAACTGCCTTCAGGAACAAATGGAGCATTGTTTCACGTTCTCCTAGGAACGGGTTATGGAACACATGGCTCCCTGTTGGATCAGTGCACTTGCCTGATAAATATTTGTTGAGTGCCTATCAGTTTAGTACCAGGCCAAGTGTTTATCTACTCAGAGCCAATGTACATTTTCCTGGAAACTAGCCAATTTTAGGAATAAAAATCATTTCCGTGGGGAGGCCTCGTGTTAGTTTTATCATCTTTGTGTTACTATTCATGATTTTCCCACGGGTGGGCACAGAGGGTTCCCCTAACGCCGAGTCTTATGCCCCCTTCTACTTTCTGCATTCAAAACGGCACAAGAATCAGTGGAAAACCATCCCCTCTTTTTCAGGGTAGTGAGAAATACCAAATAAATATTTTTTTAAAAACCATTTCAAAGGATGGGAGAGGGGAGATGTAGGGAGGACCTGAGAATGGGTGTGACTATAAAGCAGTAGCACAAGGAATCTTTGAGACTCTCTTGATTGTAGTGGTGGTTACAGGAATCTATACCTGTGATGAGATTTCACACATACACACACACACACACACACACACACACACACACGCACGCACCATACAAACACGAGTACATGTAAAACTGGTAAAATCTAAATAGGTTCTGTGGATTATACCAATGTCGATTTTTTTTGTTTTGATAGTGCATTCTAGTTATGTAAGATGTTAAAATTGGGGAAAACTGGGTTAGGATATATGGGACCGCCCCCCTCTCAAATCAATCAATAGCCCTAGCTGGTTTGGCTCAATGGATAGAGCGTCAGCCTATGGACTAAAAGGTCCCAGGTTCGATTCTGGTCAAGGGCACATGCCTGTGTTTCATGCTCGATCCCCAGTAGGGAGCTTGCAAGTGGAAGCCAATCAATGATTCTCTGTCATCATTGATGTTTCTATCTATCTCTCCCTCTCCCTTCCTCTCTAAAATCAATAAAAAATATTTTAAAAAATAAATTGAAAAAATAAAATCAATCAGTAAAAATCATTTTAAAAAGAGTGAATAATGGTCAATGTTCTCAATACTATGACGACACTAATATGATACTAATACTAATACTAATACAGTAAATGATTACAACTCAAGAATATTACCATTTTTCTCATCTCCAATCAAGTATTATGTTGCTATGACGTGCACTGACCACCAGGGGGCAGATGCTCAATGTAGGAGCTGCTGAGCTACAGTGACTTGACTAAGCATTGGGCGGTTCTGGGGTGATGTACTCCAAAACCAGAGAGGAGGGAGCCAATTCCTCGCAGAGCCACACGATTCCACCTTTAGCTTTGGGTTATGTTGTTTTTGCTGGGGCACTGTTGCCCTGAATCAGGTTTACTGCACACTTGTATTTTCATTCCATATCCTGTACGACAGCAACTTTGTGGAGTGCCCCCTTGCACTCTGGAACCCCTCAGAGGATGTCAGAGAGCTGGTTTCAACCGGATCCCCGTAGGTCAGGCCGAGGGACCCCACCTGCCAGAGGGACCCTGCTCACTTCACAGACACCGGGCAGGGACCACGGAAGGTTGGCTCCAGGGTGTGTCCAGGCCGTCTCGCCTAGTCCCATCATGCTGGCCACCTTCTAATTAATTTCCTTTCAATGTGCACTAGTAAATATATAAGATATATATATAACTTACGTTAACTTGACATTATTATGTGAATAATATAGGGGCTAGTTGATTATAAGACAAAAAGGAAAATGTCTGCATACTACTTTCGCGGCCTAAGAAGTATTTTTCATGGAACAGAATTACCATGACTTCCTTACAAACATTGTATCAAACAAAGTCAGTGCAAGCCCAGCGCTTTCAGTAACCGCTGTGTTCAGAGTGCTGCACATTTCAAGGAGAGGCTGCTTTAACAAGGTCAGTGTGCACACTGGCAAGACAAAGGCAAAATTCTCTTACTTACTAAAAGTCCTAAAAAAGAAAATTCACCCTGGTCGGTGTGGCTCAGTTGGTTGTAGCATCAACCTGTGCGCTGAAAGGTCCTGGGTCTGATTCCTGGTCAGAGTACATACCCAGGTTACAGGTTCAATCCCCAGTCGGGGTGTGTACTAGAGGTATCCGATGGATGTTTCTCTCTCACATCAATGTTTCTCTCTTTGACTTTCCCTGACCCTTCCTCTCTCTCTCTAGAATCAATGAAAACATATCCTCAGGTGAGAATTAAACATAAAAAACGTTGTGAGCCGAAACCGGTTTGGCTCAGTGGATAGAGCGTTGGTCTGCGGACTAGAAGGTTCCAGGTTCGATTCCGGTCAAGGGCATGTATCTTGGTTGCGGGCATATCCCCGGTGGGGGGTGTGCAGGAGGCGACTGGTCGATGTATCTCTCTCATTGATGTTTCTAGCTCTCTCTCCCTCTCCTCTCCTCTCTGTAAAAAATCAATGAAATATATTATAAAAAAATTTAAAAAAAGTTGTGAGCAAGGGAGCAATCCCAAAAAGAGTCACTCACACATGTTTGTATCTTTCACAATGCCAGGTTTATGAGGGGAGACCAGTTCAATAAGCTAATAGAGTCACACGCTAGTTGCACAGAAAGGGGGAGCTTACGTGAGGGAAGCGAGCAGAGTGAATGTCAGGTGTGAAGCCCCAGTCATTGGTGGTGTCTGTGGGTGAACAGATGGGTGTTGGTCTCAAGCCAGGTGCCTACTGTGGCAGCACATGTCAGTGGAGGGAGTGGAAGTCCACAGAGCTCCAGGCGTGACCCATGGTGATGAGGAAAATAAGACATTTTAGGGACCTGACGCTGTACCTAGTTAATCAATATCCTTAATGCATTCTTGTTAGCCTATAATCAAGTCACTGCCCCTTCCTTAATTATCTGGTCTTGCAAGGCCTATTTACCTAAATATTCCCATTTTACAGAGGCCATAAACCATGAACCATACACAACCCCTGGAGGGCGTTATCAGCATTGGCACCAGGCTAGGCTTTTAGGTGTGGTCTCACATCCCCCATCCCAACACTCAGGGCTTTTTGCAAAGCCTGAGAAAGGTCCGGAAGTCTGATCCATATTTGGGGGACAAAGAAACCAAAGGGTATAAAGAGAAAGCTTCCGCCATATTGGTTGGCTCAGGACTTGGAAACAGGCTCCCCTGAGTCATGGTACTAGTATCTGGAAATAAATGGGCTTTTCCTGTAT